AATGAACTGACCTGGATTGGAATGTTTACCATGTGAAGTGCCTTGAGATGACTCTTGTCGTGATTTGGCGCTATATAAATATACTTGAATTGAATTGAATTGAACTTTAGATGGGAGTAAGAATATGTTTCAGACTTAAAAAAAATGTTGATTTTTACATTTTTCTTTAGTTGTTTTTTAGGTAAAATGAGCAAACTGCCCTCTGCTGCTGTATTTGGTATTTGTGCGGTCACGTTAGGATATTTAGAGTCGGGTTCTTGTTAATAAATATTTCCTATCTTATTAAACAGACTTGATGTTTAGGAAAATTAGTTTTACTTTCTAAGACATTTGGAAAAGCACACTAGTAAGGTTTTTACTGGTCCACTACTTTGCAGTGACAATAAAGACAATAGAAACGTAATAAGAAGAGAATACACCAGAGATCTCTTTTGTGTGTGTATCAGGTTTCAGTTATCATAAGGACCCTCCTGTTACACAGTTCCAGGCTATTCTTTTGTTGCTGAGTTAAATTTACTAACCAATCCATCCTAGCTGGGTCAAATCAGATTACAAAACAGAGGTAGCATAAACTTACAGACTAGTTCTGGTCCTGCTGCATCCCTTTATCGCCCACTTCTTTCCTAATAAGGACTTCACAAATACTTCATATGATTTAAATTGAGAAATGCTCGTGTTGACATGTGCCATAGACCAGTGGTTATCAATCGTGGTCCTGGAGGCTCGGTATCCAGCATGTTTTCATTGTTTCTCTGCTGTGCTACTTAAAAATAATAAACCTTTATTAACAACTTTCAAACAAACAATAATTTGAAATAAATTTACATTAATTGCTGTTTTGTCTAAAACATTCAGAGCATCAACTAATCATCCTAAAATGAACTACTTTCTTATGAAAATATATATTTTCAGAAAAGGCGCTTGAGCCTTTCCTCCCGCAGCAATGGGTTGTGGGTAATACACTTCACCCAAGTCCGCATCGATGCAGACTTGGGTGAAGACTTGGAACAAGGGTGCAAAAGGTGATTAGCTTCTGCACTTCAGGAATCGAGACAACCTACGCACTCGAATGTGGAAGTGTGAATGTTGGAATTGGGCCATAGTATGTAGAACAGAAGTTGAAACAAACACTGAAGTAGTGCCCCCTATTAGTTGGTGGTATAAGTTTGAGGCTTGTTGGTCCCAGGGAATGTTCCCATAAATAAAATGATAAAAACATCCACATCAGATTATTTCATCCTTTTGACTCTTGCTGTTTCACACAAAGCTCTTGATTGTTCAAATACCATGTTTTAACTGTTGGAATTAGTCACTGAATGCAAAAAACATTCAAAATGATTGTGTGTGCAGACTTTGGCTTCAAAAATATTGCATGGCAGCAATGTAAACAACAGAGAGTCGTCCATTTTTATACAAGTCAATGAAGCTAAAGATGTAGCACCATATAATAAAAAGGGTGTGGCAGTGCCCTGTTCCTCAGAATGTGATACCAGAGGCCAAAGACCAAATTTCTGTACATAAAAAGCTTGAAACAAAAAATGTTTTCTCTGATTATAAAAATAGAAGCAGTTTATTCTGTTATTGGGCTGTGACAGAGATATTCCTGCTTTTGTTCTATACTTTTATTTAATCATTTATTGTGTGTCAATTTTAAAAATGAAGCATTTGTTGAAGCATGTAATGAACATCATTATAAACAGAGGCCAACAGAACAGCAGGGGCAGAATCCTTTCTTCTCTCCCTGAAACAGTGTGTGTGTGAAAACCACTTGAGCCTATTAGTTTGTTCACACCCCCTGTTTCCTCCTGCTGTCTGTGCAGCAAAGACACGATGGTAAGACATCAATGATGGACAGAGAAAAGGAGGGGAAATACAACACAACAAAAACAACCTGACTGGGCCTTAATAAGGTCATTAATAAATAACAGAGGATAACGAGAACACTGCTGATCTAATCAAGCCAAGTGAAAACGTCGGCAGGTGTGGGGATGACAAGAAGAAAGGGAGCGAAGGAGCAGAAACTCCTTTAATCTGCAGGTAGAGGAAGAGCGTGTCCTGCCTGTGTTTCCCTGTCAGAGTCATTCTTCTGAAAGCATCACCTGCTTCTCCTACAGGCACTGCATTGTATGTGTGTGTGCGCACACGTGTGCGTGCGTGCATGCACGCTCACTTACCATGAATAGTAATAAAGCAGAAGGGCAAGATAAAATATGTCTGCCAAGTTAAGAATATAATAGACCTCGATTCAAGGCCACACGTAACAACAGGCTGAAAAATGACCTGCAATCATTTAAGCGGCGCACACACTGGGCTCTGCACCAGGCAGGGGAAAAAAGCCTTTAACAAAGAAATATTTGAAGGCTATTTAAATCTGTGAGGGTGAAAACTGAACCCTGGTTGAGGCTGGTTTAACTGAGCCCTCTTCAGAAAATCAGAGTTTAAAGCCAGAGAGCAGAAAAGTCAGAGATGTGTATGGAAACATGTCACATGTGTTTGACAACAGTGACTTCAACCAGGAATAGGCTCAAAAAGACAGTATGTAGTACTCAGAGATAATATGACAATGATCCAGGAAATAAACGCCCCCTCAGGCATGGACTGGAGGTGCTGAAGGTGAACTTTACTGATATTTCCCGATAAATCTAATTATTTGGCATTTGCATAAGAAGCCAGGACAATCGTAAAGGTCTGTTTTCACCCATACTAGTATAAATGTGTTGATCTGCGTGTGAGAGCACTGTGAGTCACAGTTCCTGGTGAGTCATGTGCAGTGGTGAGTGAGCTCAGTTGCTGTGGAACACTCTCTTCAGAACGCACCATAACTGGACTTTTTGGCTGCACACTGTACAAGGTGTCTCAGTAATGCCTTGATGAGAGGGTTTAGTTAGAAACTTTCACCAGCAGCTTTTGTTACTCTGAATAAAACTCAACTTTCCCGGCAGAACGGATATGGACATGTCTGCTCTCTGAGCAAATAAATCTTCCACTAAACAAAGGAATGCTGATCATTTCCAGTGTTTTTAACAAAGAAGACACGCTGAAATCAAGCGCACATCTAAGACAAATATTTTCTTCTCGCTCGGCCATCAGGGTTGAGTCTTTCTCACAAACGGTCTTGCACTAAAGCCCGTGGACGAGCCTCACCTCCATCCTGGACCCGAGGAACAGCTGCAACGTAAACCTGCTAAATGATCTGGGTCTCCATGAGCCTCACATATGCATTATTCTAATCAAAGCACATTAGATCATCCAGATACATTAGACATATGGGTCTCACTATCCTTCTTGTTGCTGCCATCTGTTTCCCCTTTTTCTCCCATTCTCTCCATCTCAGTGGATTCCTTGCTCACACAGCTGCCTCTTTAAGGGGACGGCGTGGATTTCTAAAAGTGCAGCTACCTTGTGACGTGTTTTCACTTTCAGTCAAACCCTTATGCATGCTTGACTGCTTGATGTGAGCTGTGCATGTTGAATACAAAACACTACTCTGCAAAAATGTTTACACACAATTGTGAAAAAAGGAGAACAACAAATGACGGGTGCAAAGAAAACCAAGACTATCATTATGTTTACAGAGAAAAATACCATCAAGTACAAAAAAAAAGTGAAAAATAAAATAGAAATATAAAAAATAATGCCCCCAAAGTTCCCCTGCATATAGATTCTGCATCATTTTGGTTTTATTTGCACATTTCTTCCCCAAAAACGGATCCCAGTAAATCTCCAACAGTGTGACGAGAACATTCATAGATGGTACTTGTGTGCAGATGGTGACATACTGATTGTTATTTTCCACTCGCCTTGTAGCCTAGAAATCTGGACAAACCGTAGCAGTGGCAAAACATTTTGCCCTGAAGGGTTGGTCTAGCCATGCTCCACTGTAGCCTCAGCAGGTCTACCACTGCCTCGGCAAAGCTTAGGAAGGACCAATCACAGTGCTCCATGACTGTTAAGAGATGTTGGGCGTGCTTGGCACCAGAGCTACAATGGGGCAAAACGACAAAGATGGCGGCACCTCTTTTGAAACGGCTTTGGCATCAGCTCTAAACTTGAGGCTCTTCTTTGATGAGCAGATAAATCATCATCATCTTCTCCTTCTTCTGGTGGACTTGCCCCAATGACTGATTTCCATCACTATGAATACATCAGAACATTTGTTGCTCCTTGACAACGGTAGATTCCACTCCTATGACTGAGCTCTGTCTATGGGTCGCAGCCAGTCTATATACAGTATGTGCATATATATGATGGCTTGCTTGTTACAGATCTATCACCAGAAAAACATCCTTAAAAATAGGCAGCAGGCTTTAACCACCATCATGGTGTACTGTACACAAAACACAGATTCCAGAGTAAATTTATTTGCCCTTCCTATTTTGTCCCTCAAGTGTTTCTGTTTGTAAAAATACATCTCCTGTTGCAAAGTCTGCTGAAGATGAAACTAAGGACAAAATGTACACGAGAGTTTAGACTCCAGAGGAAACATATTTATTTATATGTTCTTAGAAAAGAGCATTCTTGCCCCCCACACGGATTGACGCCGTTCACATCCTCAGATGGTAAAAACAGTCTTGACATTTAACACCTCACGTCTGCAGACGACATCCTTTAACAGAGCCTCACATAACAGATTAGGAGCCATCATTTCAGCAGTGATCCTGCCGCAAGGGTTCTAACATCACAACCAAAGCCGTATCTTTTCTGTCTCTCCAATCCAACTGTGCAGATTTGTGCAAGCAGAACCATGAAAACAGCGTCTTCCTCCTTTAAAACCTCAATGTGGGTCTCGCTGCCTCGTTGGCAGATTTCTGACAAATCAATGTCGAACCAAATTATAAAATACAAAATAGTAAAAAATAAAAATTCTTACACTGAGCTTTTACTGCCATTGATATTTCTACAGGGTTGTTAAATTATTTTTATTTCTGCGTTGCGGTGGTGCTGTGTCGGGTCGATTGTGGGTGAATATGAAGTCAGGAAATAAAATCCCAGGGACTTACCGGGGTTGGTGATGGTTAACAGGTCTAGACGTCTTTGTTGCTGAAAGAAAACAAGAAGGAGAAAAAGATAAATGTCACAAAACAGTAATCAATACCTTCATCAATTCTTATATTTTAGTGTAGCAGAAAGTCTATTGATCCCTCTCACATGTGTGGCATTGGTTTACTCTGCTCAGTAAAACTTACTGTAAGCAGCAACATAAACTTTCTATTTACTACTTTATCTTAACAATATTTAGGATCTGTTGTGGGTAACTCTGCACCTGTCAGGGGCTTTTTGCATTTTATTCTGAAAAGAGGTAAGGGCATTAGCTTGCAGCACCATAAAATACTCCAATTACCTCTTAAGAAAACTGTGCAACTGTTATAAGTGTTGGTTTGACATCTCTCCTCCATGCTCCGTGTGTGCTTGTGCACGCATGATTTCAAGCATGTGTAAGTGTGATGTTGTGTTTTGATGGAGTGTGTAATTTTACACTTGATTTCTCCTGCAGCTAAAAAGGAGTTTGGAGGTGCTATGGTTTTTACACCCCCCCCCCCCCCCCCCAAAAAAAAAAAAAAACCTCATCTTTAAACCCACCACACACACACACACACACACACACACACACACACACACACACACACACACACACACACACACACACACACACACACACACACACTTGACTGTTGAGCACTGAAGTAATCAACACCTCAGCCCTCCTCATCTTCCAGCCTCTGAAGAAAGACGGTCTTCACATCCAAGGATAAAATGAAGACTCTGTGTGTGTGTGTGTGTGTGTGTGTGTGTGTGTGTGACACAGTGAGGCTGTTGTCCACTCATCAGCCTGCAGGACCAGATGTTATTAATATTCTAGCACCATACTGACCATTTGAGAATGATAAGCAAAGAGACTCTCAGCGTTTGGAGTCTCCTCTCCTTGGAGGCATCTTCTCCTGGAGTGGAACTCTGATCAGGCTGCTTACATCAGTCTTTAGCATGAAGCTCATACTCAGAGCAACATGACTTATATAGATCATGAGTGGAACTGAATACAGTACATAAATAAATGGTTATAATTCTAATTACTAATTTGTACATTTTGCATAAATGTTCAGTTACAGGACAACAGATGCCGGTAGGGTAAAGAGTGTTCAGAGAGAGATTGATGCTGGGATAAATGACCACAGAGCAGCAGAGGTCACTATAACAACACAGAAAAGCTTACCCACACATTTATGCATTCTTATGTATCACCCCACCCACCTTTTACATGCAAGCACACGCGTGCGCGCGCACACACACACACACACACACACACACACACACACACACACACACACACACACACACACACACACACACACACACACACACACACACACACACACACACACACACACACACACACACACACACACACACACACACACACACATGTTTACCACCACCTGAAGACCTGAACCAGAACAGAAATTTCACCTAAAAAAGCATCAGAGTGTTTTTTTAGTTTGTTTTGCATGAAACAAGCATACCGGTATATTTTCTTTGATGAAAAGCTTCTGTCTCCAAACAGCGGCTACTAACTAAACCTTCTCACCATTTTAGACAAACAGATCCTACCCCTGGCCTGGGTCTGAGGACCTCTTCCTGCTCTTTGAGACTGAAGGATTGTATTATAGTAAAGATGTTTAAATATTTAACTTCGTTTGTTGACTTCCTTAGCTGGAAAACTAAGTATAAATTGGTACTTTAAAATATTCACATACCAAACATAAGAGTATTGTATCGATTTGCATTAAAACTGGATTAAATAAATCTGGTTTTACTGGAATGAAAAGAACAGAAACGTTTAACTTGGGGTTACGCTGACTATACATTAAAATAGTTTTCTTTCTGTGAACAGAATGCTGTTATATAATGGCACCGTATAAAACAATGATCAAATGAATGACATATACATTATAATATTGTATACATTATATAAAAAATATTTACCGATTCTCACTTGTTTCCTTTCAGTCCAAAGAATTAATATGTGTGAGTGGTCACTGAGTGATTATTAGATTTAAATTTCCATAATTCAGGTGGTTAGCTTTATTTGTCATTTATGCCATTTATTCTAAACATACGGCATAACCGAAATTACTGTCCTCTCTCACGGGGCAACAAGCACTATACGAATACAGAGAAATCATAAGAAATAAAATATGTCGTCTAGAAGTAAAATATACTACAAATAGTAAGTATAACTAAAGTCAGAGGAAAACAGAATGCAGATATGCAGTTTACACAGCCATACATTAATGTTTAAACCAGCACCAAGAATATTTAATCAGATTTTGAAGTGAGATGCTGAGGTTGCTTTAAGATGAGGAAAAAAGCACAAGATCCTGGACCAGCTTGGTGGAACAATATTAGCTGGATTAAATGGCCTGTATTTGTATAGCACCTTCTTAGTTTTCTACAACCCCCAAGGTGCTTCACAACACAATCACTCACCCATTCACACACACATTTACAAGCTGGTGGGGATGAGGGCTGGGGCGCACTGACAGAGGTGCAGCCTGCCGAACACAGGCGCCACCGGTCCCTCCGACCACCACCAGCAGGTAAGGCGAGTTAAGTGTCTTGTCCAAGGACACAACAGCAGCATTCTCTTGTTAGAGCCAGGATCAAGCCTGCAATCTTCTGATGACTGAACAACCTGCTCAACCTTCTGCGAGCTACTGCTGTCCCTACACGTGCAACAAAGTTCATTTCTGCAGAACCAAAGTTCATCAGTAAAATATATGGTTAAGATCATTTGGAGGTGGTTTCCATTGCAAGGTTTTTAAAATATTAAAAGTGTAGCTCGTTGAACAACGGAGAAACATTTTTGACCAGACTGATGAGCTAACAGCTAGTCAGCTTTTGTCATTAAAACAAGATTGCTGTCAATAAAAAGTTAATATAAAAAATCACAAGGATCAATGCTAACAATTCCATTAAACATTTACATTGCCACACATTTTCCACAAATGATCATTTACTGCATAAAGTAACACTTCTTGGCGTAGCTTCTTGATTCTGCCAGAATGTGTAATGTGAAATTGGCAACAAGGTTTAAAATGAAAAAAAGAGCAATAAACTAACAAAAACCTACACACGAACTGCTCAACAACTGCTCTCACTGTGATGAGCTCTTTGCTCATCTGTCCCATCAGAACTAACTATTTCTCCAAACTGAGGTTGATCACAGAGCTTCGTTCATAATCTTTTGCAGAAATCCCCATCAAAACACATGGAATCTGATTTTAATCTAACAAATAAGTGATATGCTATATGAGTTTTGTCGTCGGGTGAAAACAAGTAGAATAAATAACCACATGTGCTTTGTAGTGCCCTCTACTGGCTCAAGAGATGTCTGCAAGTGAAAAGACCTTTCTAATTCAAGGCATGAAGATAATAAACATGTCTGTACTGAAGCATCATGAACATTTCTAAAATCACAGTATGTCTGAACTCACGCCATCATGGCTCCTACGCAAATACAAAAATCAAGTTTCACACAATCTGTCAACCAGCAACCAAAAAGTTTGAGGGACGTTCGTTCAGGTCGCCTTTAAATAAAAATATTAATCTGCGAAGAAGAATTAAAACACATTACTGCGACTTTATCTTTCCATTTGTTTTGTCAGTAATCACAATAGATAAGATGCCCTAAGCTTCTTTGGAGGAAAACACACAGACACTAAAAGAGGGACTGAATAGGTTCAGTAAAAGCATTACAGGGCAGAAAACAGGACTGGACTAGTCTTCATCAAACATGACTGAGAGCTGAGGGATCACAGTCTGGATGAAGTACATCCAGCTTCACTGCTCTTTACACACACTGCAACAGAGACAATAGTCTGTTTTTATACCTGAACCACTGAATTTGAGAGAAACTTGGTTTGAGATTCATTACCTAGTAAAATAAAACTTTGATTTCATGGTAACTGAATACCACAAGTGGTTTATTTTTATATTTGGCAGCTACTAGGGCTGTTCATTTAGGAGGATTTCACAATCCATCTGCCTAGAATCCACAGATGTTTGCCCCTACTGAATAGTGGAAGGACCTGCTGGTTAAAGGTTAGAAAACAGGAATGCAGATGAGAGTCAGAGGTGACAAACACTCCAGCTGTCACTGTAATCCAGCCAGATAGTCTGGGCTGTGGAGGTCATTGGCACGGCAAACAATACAGGATCACCAGAGAGAGGGCTTAAAGTAACGAACAATAGCTTCAGTGTTACACGAGAACAGGATTTAATTGATTTTTACAGACATGAAACTTCAGCAGAAGCTTGCTATATTCTATTCTTGGAAGCTTTATGACTGCAGGTTTGATCAAATCTGATCCATGAAACAACAGAAAATTGCTACTCTGACTAAAAGACAACCCACCCAGTTTATTCTCTGGGTATTAGATTCTCTTAAATATTAGTGTCTCTTGTATAAAAATAAAATTTATTTTACATTCAACAAATTGTCTTCAAAAATGAATCGGACAAGTGGAAACACAAATGAACCCATGAAGTTCTACTCAGTCTACCGCAAATCCTGTGATTAAATAACCAATCAGCTGGCCTGATAGCAGGTGCTACCACACTAATCTGGGAGGGAACGGGAGGAGACAGTCAGATGGAGAGACAGTGGAGGAAAAACCATTAATGTACTAAACCCTTGCTTTATTACTAAATTAAATATTCATGCAAAATCTTCCCAAAACCTATTTGCCAACATTTCCTTATATTTCTCATATATGGGGAGTGATTGTTCTCTCTCTCTCTCTCTCTCTCTCTCTCTCTCTCTCTCTCTCTCTCTCTCTCTCTCTCTCTCTCTCTCTCTCTCTCTCTCTCTCTCTCTCTCTCTCTCTCTCTCACACACACACACACACACACACACACACACACACACACACACACACACAGAGCACCCGGTATGGGTGGAGGCTCCTCATTTCAAATTAATTTAAAGTCAGTATGGCTAAACTGTGCTGCAGCCGCCACCTTCCTGCTGCTTTTCCACTTTG